TTCCATTAGGCTATACCATATTAGTCAGAGTCCTAATCTAATCCTCTAATAACAAACATGTATGTATTACTTAAATTAGCTCTTTGTTCTGCCTTAAAAAATGTACAGTAAGCTAATAATGATTAATTTATGTACATTTCTGAAAAGCATAACTGATAACATCACTCTGAATAGTAAAGTAGATGCACTGCATTTTCTGTGAAAAGCGCTATACAAATAAATTGGAATTGAATTGAAAGAGTCTGGACTAGCCCACTATGAGTCGCGCTGAAAGCAGGCAGGCACGCAGTTTTGTAGCTCGCGTTTACACTTGTGTGCATGGCGGGCCCGTGCCGCGGTTCGCGTGAATGTGAAAGCAACACGGACTCGGGAGCGCTTGTTCAGGAAGTTAAGTAACCTGCCTATGCGTTTTAGCTGATTATGATGCATTTAGTTAAATAAAACACATGTAAGGGATGATAGTGTTGATGATTTACCTTGGATACGCGAGAGTTGAGTCTGCAGTGTATTCGCGCATTGCACATGCAATCAGGGCAACACATTTGGAAATCCACTGTCTCCTCAAAAGAGTCCGTTTGAAAAACACAATATATTGACCCGCGTTCTGTTTTCTATCATGCGCCGTGCACGTTTGCGATGGCATAAGATGCACGCAAACTCAACAGGGTTCGATAGAATTGAGTGTGAAACCAGACCAACGCTGCGGAGGGCGCCGGGAACAATCGCGCTCGCGCTCGGACTCGGACCGCAGCAAACGAGCCCACTGTGAAAGCTCTGTCACCTGCCTCCGCAATTTTTCATATCAAAGCAGTGAAGGCGGGCGGGAACGTGAAGGAAAATGATAGCAGATAAACCAGCAGGGTGCGCACGGCGCACAGACTGGTGTGTGGAGGTGAATTACAGTGAGCCGTTTGTGACGGGAGACCAAAAATAAATAGCGGTCAATAGTAAAACGACACGTCGACTAAAAAAATTGCCGTCGACTAATTTGCATGGTCGATTACGTCGACTAAGTCGACTAATCGCGGCAGCACTATATTTTTCCCGATATTTAAGCATTTTCCCAGTTCGGGTCTATTATCATTAGCCTCGTTGGACAGATGGACTGTTATGACGGTGGAAGGTGAACCCAGGCACAGACAGGATGCAGTGACACAAAGTTTATTATAGACAAAACAGAGAAAACAAAACCCACGAGGGGGCAAAACATGAACAGCAAAAGAAATGACAAGACTAGACCAGACTAGACTAGGACTGACAAACTAGACCATAAACTAACTACAGAAACAGGATCAGTAATTCTCCAGACAAAACTCTCACAAGGTACTCACAGGTAAGTTTAACACACAGGAAGAAATCACACTATGAGAAACAATGAACCGGCACAGGACAGCAAATAAATCAATAAATAAATATTGGTTATGTATATTGGTTATCGGGCACATAAACATGCAAATAATCAAATAATAGTATTAGTGTCTTACTCCTTTTTTGATCCGATTCCGGAGTATTTTAAGTTGTTTCTGCTGACATAAGGAATCTAAGTGATCGAGCCGGCGCCTCACGTGCACAAATACAATAACAGTTCTTATTGCTTGACATCGTAGCCACTTATGAGACAACTAAAATAAAAGTTATGTGGTTACTGAATTTAATTTCTATGTTGTACGATATGTAGGCTGTCAGCGTGAGCATCACCCTGCCGTGGGGTTGGCATAATTCCAAACAGATTTTTTTGCGTATGTGAAGGATGATAATAAATAATAGTTTAACAACCAAATGTTACACTGCGACTATAACAAATTATTTATTTAACAAAAGGAAAGGTGTGCGAGCCCACTGTGTTCAGTTTCAGTTTCGCTTTAAATAAGTTTGTTATAGGCTTGGCATTTAAAATCAATTTTGCTTTAAATGAATGACACAATTTATTTTTATTTTATACATATATTTGAAAATTTTTCTCTGTTCTGAATACCATTAAATTTAAAGGATTTGGAGTGAGGGGAAGTAAAATAGGCTACATGGTGTTTTATAATAGTGTTTGTTAACGTTTCGTTTTATTTAGGCTACCAGCATTTTACATATTTCTGTGTAATAATAAAATGCGAATTATACACCGATGCGACTTATCTGTTTTTTCTCTCTCAACAACGCAAGTTTGACCTGGTGCGACTTATTTCCAGGAAAATATGGTAAATAATATAATTGTGCTGTAGTATTAAAAAGTGCATATACAATGGGGACTGTTTGCAACAATAAAACAAGTATATTACCGGTATGTTCATTACTCCCACCCCCCACAATAACTTTGGGTTTAATCTGTTATAATTTTGACAGGATCCTTAGAAAATGTTCTCCCCTGTAAGGAGTCCATGGCTCCAAAAAGTTCGAAAACCCCTGGTTTAAACAACCGTGATGTATTGTTCTCTTTTAAAAGGTTTGATTTTGAAACTGTGATATCATGGTTTAATTTGTTTTTAAATTATGTGTGAATTATCCCAAACACTAAGACAGTGATATCTCTCTATGGGATTTGTGATTGTTGTCATATTTATTTAAAAAAAATCTAAAATATGTGCATATTAAAGTGAGAATTGAGGGAAAACACATCTTTTGGATAGAATTAAATAAATAAAAAGTACTTTGGGTGTCTTGTTCATCATATTTATTTTCATATAAAAGCAACAGAACTTAAATTACATCCAGTTTATTAGCAACACAATGCAAGAGTGAATACCGCGATATCCACCTTTGATCTCGTTTGATCCACTACGAGAAGAGAGAACTGTCCATCTTGGCTGCACTTTTTTGACTCTTCCCCTCACTGCAGCCCCCTATTCTCGCCTAAATTTCAGGCAAGGAGCTTCTCAAATGAGCCCAGTGTTGCCAACAATTTTCAAAGGAAAGTAGCTAAAGCCTTCCCAAAAAGTAGCTAAATGTAGTCTAGAAGATGACCACACACCAATGGGCTCTATGCACGGCGGTATTTCCGGTGAAGGTCTAAGGATGCTGGATTACTTCCGCCGATCGTAGAGTCCAATGCTATACCAAGAATTTATATTGGTTTTTATACTCTATTGCTATACTAAAGAAACGTTAGTCACAAAAACAGACAAAACAGACACCCCTCATTTTGTTTATGCTTCTTTGTTTATTATATTAAATAAGCATAACTATATATAAAATTACATCTAAACGTATTAAAGTTTCGTTTCAAAGACGAGAGGACAGTACATTTTGAAGACTCTGCCATAATCCCGTTTTCCTCCGCTTTAAATCTCCCCAACCGGAAACGCAAGAGCATCCTTGCCTCAAACGCGGAATTTATGCGTGCATATAGCCCATAGGCTTTATGCCGAGCGTCACGTGACCAAGCCGGAAAACAGATCACATCGCTTCCGATTCAGGTCTTTTGTATGTGCTTCATGAAATTTTTTGCGGTTTTACTCAAGATAACTTAAAAGGAGCAAGCAAAAATGAGCATAACCAATGTCCCTCGCATGTGCAGATTGATATTTAAAAGTTTTTTTTAATTTTTCTTCTTCACACTAACGTTTAGATATTTAAATAGCATAAAACACCAATAACAAAGTGAACTTAGTAGGTTAGCTGATTACCTTAAAAATCCATAGATATCGTAGTTAGTTCTTACGGCCGTTAACACTTTCTCTGACAAGCGGATGCAATGAGACCCGTTTTCCGGTTTGGTCACGTGACACTCGGCATAAAGCCTATTAGCATATTGTGACGTCATCATGTTGTACATGCATTCTGCCTAATGTCTGTTTTCTCTTTTAATCTGTACTGTATTGTATTGGAAAATAAAGCTGTTCTCATATGCATATTTTCTGTAAGACAACAGAACGAGCATAATATAGTGAATGACAATTTTTTTTACGTGTAAGTTTAATAAAGTTTAAAGTTTATTATCATGTTTGAATATATACAATGAATGTACAGTCTCTAAATAAATTATCTAAAACCGGATGAACTAAAGCTCTGTGATAGTGAGAGTCGCTAGGTGCTTTTTTGGGAAAAAGTTGCTAAAGGGGTCTGAAAAGTCGCTAAATCTAGTGACAAAGTCCTAAAAAAAAAAACTACTGGTGGTAAAGTGACGCAACTGACGCCGTAGGTCAAATGACAGTGACAACATATTGAACATACTTTTTTAACAGTCACGAAGTAGGTTTCAAACCACAGTAGCTGCATCCCAATTCAGAGGCTACATCCTTCAAAGGGCGCAAAGGTCAGACCGAGCGTCCGTGAGGGGCTGCCGCTTTACTTTCGTTTGGTTGTTGGCTTATTTGTGTCATTGATCGTTCGCAGGTTCCCGTCTCTCCCTTTTGGTTCCTGCCTCCCCCTTTTTGCTACAAACGCTCTAAAGTTTTTTTTTTTTTTTTTTTATGTATGAATTCTGGGGTAAGGTTAGGCAAGGTCACCAAGGATCTGTTGTATCCTTCATTGCACAGGAAACTTGTTTTTTGTATTAAAGATTATGATAAAATTGTTAATTTTAAAATATTTTCTTCAGTAATAACTAATTTTGAGATCATACTGCAATCCAGCTCAGTAGCCTACAAGTTGGAAATGGAAGCTTCCAAATAAAATGTACCCTAACAACTTGGTTTCTGGGTTGTCTTTATGAATGAAGCACCATTTTTTTATATTAAAATATAGCTTAGGTCTACATATTTAGAAAAATGCTATTTTGACAGTTGGATTAATAATAATAATCATCGTCTTTTTTGTTTTTACCTTTTATTTCGTCTGTTTCAGAGACAAAACGCTTGTAATTGGTAGCTATCTTTTATCTCGTGTAAATGTTGATGTATCTGAGGGAAAACGTGGCATTTGTACATTTTATATCGGGCTAACCTGGATGTCTGAAGTAAAATGAGTCTTTTTCTCCTTTTCTTCCCGGTTTCACAGCTGTGTTTCTTCCCGAGGTAAATGTGTCTCCCCGCCGCCTCAGCATCAGAGAAATTCGCGCCCTTCAGTCAACTCGCTCGCGCGGTCTCCTGGGTAACGGTGCGTATGGTAACCATTGTAAACAACGCGCCCTACAGCGCTGAGGTGAACAGCGAACAAAACCAGCCATGGCTGTCTGCAACACCGAGTATTTCGATCAGATAGGAAATATTCAAAATAGCATACACGAACGGTAAGAACGCTGTGTACTTTTTCCTTTAGCTTATTTATAATAAATGCTGTTAAATGTTTGGAAATTGAAGTGGGCCTTGAATGAAGCAGCGTGGTAGATTTCAGCTCTCGCGGACTGTAACGTTAGCTGTCTGGCTCGGTGAGCAGGAGAGTGATAATAACCACCGGGACAGCGGTGAACGACTCGGTAGCTTTTGATATAACATGATTTTTTAATAATCACCCGTGTATAGCAGTGAGCTCAAGTAAGTTAGTCTGTCGGATGTCTTATCTATCTTTGGATGTCGGCTTTTTCATAATTAGCTAACGTTACTGTATTAGGATGACAGATTCAGTAAGTTAGCCTAGTAACGTTATATCACAATATTTGTTATTTTTCTATTTAGGGTTTGTGGGGGATGTAAAGTTATGCTTAATGTAAAGAACTATTACTGTACTATTATAAAGTTCGTCAATTTGGTAACGCTTCCTGGATTCATCTAACGTTACTCAAGCTATTTATTTAATCTATGTAGTTTTTTTCTTCTTCTTCCTTTTGATCTAACTTAATTTAGTATTTGTGGAGAAGAATTGTTTAAAACTACTTTTTTGTTTAGGGAGAGAAGAAGACATGAACTGGAAGAAAAACTGTTTGCCTACTTAAGATCAGATGAAAGACTGTAAGTATAACACAGTAACGTTAGACCCTTACATTATGAAATTAATAGTAAATATCAAGAAACCTATATATTTGAATGTTTTTAAAATATTTATTTTCTGCTCACCAAGGCTGCATTTATTTAATTAAAAAACAGTAATATTGTGAAATAATATTGCAATTTAAAATAACTGCTGTTTGAATATAAATGTAATTTATTCTATCATTACTCCAGTCTTCAGTGTCACATGATCTTTCAGAAATCATCTGTCTAATATGCTGATTTGCTGCTCAAGAAATATTTATTATTATTATGATCAATGTTGAAAACAGTTGTGTACAATTACAACAACAGCATTTAGGCCTATCTAAAATAAAAAAGCTTTTGTAACATTTTACACTACTGTTCAAAAGTTTGGGGTCAGTAAGATTTTTTTATTTTAAAGAAGTGACAGAAATTAATACTTTTATTCAGCAAGGATGCATTAAATTGATCAAAAATGACAGTAAAGACATTTATAACCTTACAAAAGATTCTATTTCAAATAAATACTGTCCTAACCCTAACCCTAACTTTCTATTCATCAAAGAATCCTGAAAAAATTTGCATAACTTTTTTTCAAGCATGGATAATAATCAGAAATGTTTCTTGAGCAGCAAAATCAGAATATTAGAAGGATTTCTGAAGGATCGTGTGACACTGAAGACTGGAGTAATGATGCTGGAAATTCAGCTTTGATCACAGAAATACATTACATTTTAAAATATATTCAGAAAAAAAGTTATTTTAAAGTGTAATAATATTTCACAATATTACTGTTTGTTTTGTATTTATAATTAAATAAATGTAGCCTTGGTGAGTGTAAGAGACTTCTTTTAACATTAAAAAACATACCAATCCCAAACTTTTGAACGGCAGTATATATAGGCTATATATATATATATGCATGGATTCCGCTCAAGTAGAAAATGTATTGATATTTTTTTGCTTCATACGCTACTGTTTCCAGTATATGTATCCAACACCGACTTTCAGATGACATTTTTAGGGATTCCTTTACAACCTGAAAGAGATCAGAAATAAATGTTTTACTGTATTGTGCTTTCACTTATTACTTTGATAATTTAAATAAAAAAGACTTTTTTTTTTAATCATCTTGTTTATTTTTATTTTATTTTATTGAGTCTATATTGTAGTGACATACGTCTTTTGTTTGCTTTTTTTGTTTCACCCATATAGCAGGCTTTCTCCGAAAAATGGTTATTTCGGGATAAATAAGTAGACCGATGCACTCACTCATTGATGATTTGGGGTCATCTGTTTCTGTTTAAGTACTTGAGGCCAGTTTGTTTTTATGATGGCTCAATTAAATGCATTTATAAAAATAAAGAATTTTGATATGGGGCCATGATGGTCAAGGATGTGTGAGAGGTTAGTAGATCAGCATTTATCATTCATTTGAACATTTCAGCCATTATTATCCATTTTCGCCCTTTGCTAGTCACAAAACTCCATCTTAGCTGTGGAGAATCCATTAGTACTACTGTAAAGTGGCTCTTGACAAATATGTAATTTTTTACTTTGTCCTGTAATATGCACAGTGAGGAGCAATTAGTAATACTAATAAGCTAGCATTAACCTATTTATAGTAATGTTTGACGTATTTGTTACAGGTTTCTATATTTATTTTCATGAATGCAAAGACAATGCAGCCTTTTTCTATACAGAGAGTAGCAAAGCTGTCCGTTTCACGTCTGTCTCCTGCTCACAGGACTAAGCTGAAGTGTGCCAAGATGCGCTGCTATTACAAGGAGCTGCATGAGAGAGAGCAGCAAGCAAAGACACGCAACCTTGAGCTACTGGGGAATGTGGAAAACTTGGCATCCAAATTGAAAGAATTCTCCATTGATTGTAGCAGGCTGCTTCAAAAGAGGGTAACAACAACCTTGGACAACCAATATTCATCATATGTGCTTCCTAAAAAAGTACTGACTGTGTGTCAATTGTTATGCTTATTTCACAGTTTTTATCTTTGAATATTTACTTGTGTTATGGTTTAGACGTATTTAGACGTATAGATGTATTATGGTTAATACATCGCTTTATCATTCCAAGCTGTGTTTTGGTTGTTTCTGTTATTCTCATGTCAAAGCACATGTTTGCGTTGTTCTGATCATAGAGGTGAAATGAAATGTGCAGTGACCCAAACGATTGCTGATCGGTACCAAACATGTTAGTGTAGTCTGAATGTTTGCATTTCCCAAAACTAAGGCATTATTTTGAGGTACTGATCCCCCTCCCCCCATATATTCTGAGCCTCAATTAGACCATTGCCATAATCCTGTAATTGTCTGTCTAATTGTCTTCCAGTGTTTAAACTTTCACACTTATTGTTGTTTGGGAACAATCATAAACACTCCAGCACTCATTTATCACTGCACGCAAATGAGAAAAAGAAAACAACAGCTCCGTCAGATTGTCACTTAAAACTGAACAGTGCTCCACAGCTTAATATCAAATTAGACAAATTGTTTAATTACACTACCACAAATTAATCGCCCTGTGTTCAGATAGTGAAGTGCCACCGAATTTCCCTTTTTGTGAAAGAAACCCGTTTTCCTCCTTTTTGTGCGTGTTATGTTTTGTTTCGTTGCTGCAGCGGTAGCCTAAAATTGCAATTGTAAGAGATACTTGCTAATCTAGCTGCCAGTCAAAGGATATCACTTTAATTTCTATTACACTAAATTGAACTCGATTGCTTAATTGCTCAAATTCATACCATCACCTCATACCGTAAAGCTCTCATTTCTCTTTTCTTCCCACTCTGATTTTAACAATGCTAATATTTGTCTGCTTGTAACTGCACGGACCACTTTAGATGTTATCGTGTGTAAAATTGGTGTAAATGGTAACTCTGGTCTCTTCTGGGAGTGCAGATATTGTCTTACGAGAATGAAGTGGGAGGTTGGAGGTAATCCCAGCGCCGTCATCTCTGCCACTGGTTAACTCGCCAAACTGATTAAGAGCCTTGGCAGGCACTATTAGGCACTATTAAGGGCACTCACAAAGGAATACACTCGCTGATTGGCTTTGATCCTGTTCCATTGCTTTGTTTGTAATGTTTATTGAAATAAGAGGTTATATTGGAATTTTTTTGTGTGATGTATCTCGTAACTGTGGTCACTTTGACTGCCATGACGTAAGCCAGTGCCGTGTTACAACTAGTGTTTTTAAGCAAATACGTTTTGTCGTTTAGATCGTTGAAACAATCTATGTTAGTAATGATTTGACTTGAATTCATTTCAGTTGGAGTACAAGAATCACATTACCAGACTGAAGAAAGACAAGAAGAAAACGGGGAGCAGGGGGGAATCGGAAGCGGACGAGGTAAGAGAAAATTATCATGTCATCTATGGAAATTACAGTTCAGTGGGGAATTTACAAAGCTATCTGTGTGCCTTTGATAAAACTGCAGTGCTGTGATGGGATCCAATGGAAGTGTGTCTCTTTTTTTTTTTTCAAAAGAAGAGAATTGAGAGTTGTAGAGAAAAATACCACAACCATTATTCAGCTCAGCCTCCCTCTTCAGGAGACACTTTTGACAGTTTATATGGGGTATCAGTGTTCAAAGGCCACAATTAATTTATAATCAAAAGCAAATTGGAAAGTGCTTGAAGTAATTTCTGTTTTGCTCAAATGACTGCTTTGGTTTAACAAAGGAGTATCACAGTCTTAAAACAAAATGATATTACACATTTTAAAAGGCCATAAGGAAAAAAAAAAAACACAAATGGAAAAGAGTATTTTTAAAGCCTCTTACAGCTAATGCAATCCAACTGACCATGTGTCATATTTTTCGTTGTGACAGTCTGCAGTATTGCACATCACACGGATGACAGCTAAAACAATATGCGTCCAAACTCTTTCTGTCACTCCCTCGAATACAAGTCGCTGTTATGTAGATTGCTTAGCGGTGGTCGTGAGGCTGTTCATTTTCCCTCTCGTATCTGTAGTGCCGCAGGTGTCTAATCCTGGCTGCTTTCGCCCGAACCGACAATAGTTCAAGCCCGTGGCTGTAGCTTTCCCTCTCTTCAAGCGACTCGAGCTCTCTCGGATGAAATGTGGAAGACAGCTCATAATGACTTAGAGCATTCTGTCTAGAGCAGTCACTTGTGACTGTGCCGTATCTTCCCCCCCCTCCCCTCCCTCCCCAAATCCCACCCCCCCCCTTCCAGCCTGCCGATATTGTAATGAGCAGAGATGGGAGGAATCACTCCATTATGCATAGGCGCCACCACTGGCTGCGTGCATGTCCCCGAGGCTGCAGCATTCATTAAGGGGAGCTTACCAGCCTGAAAGCTGGGAAGCCATGATAACGGGATATGATTTTCATATTTAATATATTCCTTGGAAGAGCAGGCGCGTGCCGCAGATTGATAGAAGAATCAATTGCTACTTTAGCGAAACACTTTCTACTTTGCCCTGCAGCTAGCGATGGAATCACTCAGCCAAGAAATTAACTTTTCCTCTCACTCCATTTCTTTTTTCCTTTTCTTTTTTTTACTTCCACACTGGATCTGCCAGACAGACCGCGTGGTTTACAGTGGATGTTATTAAGCAGCTAACGGGTTGGTATTTAAGACCCTTATCAGAAAAGAAACAGAAGCCATGTTTTTTTATTTTTTTTATTATGTGTGCTGATTTTTTTTTTTTTTCGGTACCCATCCACCACTCTTCCTCCGTAGTGCAGTATTTCTGTCATGAAACAGAGTTTAGGAGCATAGGATTGTTAATAAGATTAAAAGTTAAGACACTGATCTCAGTGCACTCAGCTGAACAGACAGTCTGAAGAAAATCTAACCTTGACCAAAAGAAATCTTAGTATAAAGCTACAAAAATGATACCTTGAAATGTTTTGGATTAAAGTTTATTTGAAAAGAAGCCACCGTAACCTGAATTGTCAGGGTTGAGTTTTGGGGCCAAGGACTAGTGGAAGTAAAGCAATGAGAGAATGATATAGCAGACATTTAGCTCCCACTTACTGGCAATGAGGTATCCTTGACCGGCCAATTAATTTTAGCACTTTGTAAATGCCTTGACTCAGTGTGTACTTGACATGGCTTTTTTGTTTTTCTGCAGTTTTACTTCCTTTCATTTTCATCATATTTGTACAGATGTATGTGAGAAATATTTAACTTTTTACATTGGTTAAATATTCCCAAACTCTTCCCATGAGAATTCAAAAGGAAATGCGTCAAAGGGTTTAGTTCGTTTACCCAAAAATGGAAATTCTCTCACTTTTGTGTTTTTCCAAACCGGTATGACTTTCTTTTTTCTGTCGTACACAAAAGGAGATGCCAGGGTATTCACAATATACAATAGAATAGAAGTGCATTGGCTCTGACTCTTAAAGGGTTAGTTCACCCAAAAATGAAAATTCTGTCAGTAATTACTCACCCTCATGTTGTTCCAACCCAGTAAGACTTTCGTTCATCTTCGGAACACAAATTAAGATGTTTTTGATTAAATCTGAGAGCTGGATCACTCCTCCATAGGCTTCTTAAGGGATCGAAACTGGCCGGCCCAAAAGTTATGAAAGACATCGTTAAAATAGTCCGATTGACTACAGTGGCTCAACCTTAAGTTTATCAAGCGACGAGAATACTTTTTGTGCGCAAAAAACGAACAAAAATAACGACTTTATTCAACTAATCATTTCCTTGTCTGTGGGCCGTGATATTTCACGTAGTGATATTGCGCAAAGCTTCTAGGTTGCACGTCACACGCAGGCTCACTATTGGCCGACGCTGGTCATGTGTGTGACGCGTGACGTACAACCTAGAAGCTTTGCGTAGTTTCACTATGTGAAATATTACACTGTTTGGAACATCATAAAGGTAAGTAAATGATGAGAGAATTAAATTTTTTAACTGAATTGCCATTAGAGCTGGGTAATATGGCCAACAAATTATTATCCTGATAAAATTTGTCATATCAGTCAATGTCACGATAATTATCACGATAAATGTCAAATCTTTATTTCTTTAGTTTAAAGACAGATCTTTTCTCCTGAGTGAAAATTGTAGAAACCAGACAGTTAATTATAGTTTTATAATCAGAACATGACAAGAACAGAACAAAACATTTCGCAAATTCATATTATGTTTTGTCTCTTAGAAATGAATTTTTGACAGTAGCTTGATTTGGGATGCAGATGTAAATTTATGTTCATTAACAAAAACAGTAACATCTGTTCAAATTGTAACAATATCATTTTTATAGGGTAAAATGTGGTCTTCCATAGTATTTGTTTCATGTTAACCACAGGTAAAACCATGCATTGCACCTCACTACCATGGTTAAAACTAAATTGCTTCTATGGTATTTGTTATGAAAAACAGTAGCCTAAAGACATTTAGTAGGGTACAACGGGGCTTAAAGGGATACTCCACCCAAAAATGAAAAATCTGTCATCATTTACTCACCCTCAAGTTGTTGCAAACCTGTATGAGTTTCTTTCTTCTGCTGAACACAAAGGAAGATATTTTGAAGAACGATTGGAACCAAACAGTTGTTTGGCACCATTGACTTCCATAGTAGAAAAAAAAAAATACTATGGAAGTCAATGGTGCCAAAGTTCCAATCGTTCTTCAAAATATCTTCCTTTGTGTTCAGCTGAAGAAAGAAACTCATACAGGTTTGCAACAACTTGAGGTTGAGTAAATGATGACAGAATTTGTGGGTGGAGTATCCCTTTAAGGCACACCTTAAGAAAAATGTGTTTTTCACTACTCCCATAGTGTATGGCATATACACTAAACATATATAGCCTATTGAACATTGATGGAGCAACAGGTTTTGTGTCAAAATAATTCATAAAAGTGGTTGGTTTTGTTTAAAAATCTTATAAATGGATGAGGTGGGCCTTTTACCCCACATACGGTGTAAAACCAGACAAAAGGCACAAAGTAATGATACAAATACTTTAGCTAAAGCAAAATGTTTTTAGTAATATCTAAGTTAATACTTGTTAAAAACAATCACTTTCGCAAAGTTTGTACAATTTTCTGTTTATTTTGTTAAATAAAAGAATTTATTTTTGTTCAATAAATATACTGTTATTCAAATGTTCATTTTAAAAATACAGAAAAAAATGATTAAAAAAAAAAAATTGTGAAAGCATTGAATGAGATCCCATAATAATTTGATGTAGCTTTACAGTTCTAACAATAAATGAGATATTTTATTATATGATATGATTAATATCATATTTTTAAATATGATGGTTTTATTATATCGTGTCGTGATTATCTAAGGTGGACTCCTAACTTAACATATGATATTTACCATCTGAATCTAACCATGTCACGTGATCGTGTCAAGGATCAGTCAAATGTCCACATGCATCTTTAAATGAGTTTTTTTAGAAGAGTGCTGAGGTGAATTTTTGTGCCATCTAGGCCTAGTGGTTTAAAAGATAAAGTAAAATGCGGCTTTTACCCCGTTGTACCCTATATGGTATAATACAAATGCTAGCTTAATAACAAAAAATATTTGAATTATGTTTCATTACTCTTTTAATACATTTAATGTCTACATTAATAAAATAAAATCCAAAATGAATGTCCCACATTTCTGTCAGAATCCCTTGGTTTCAGTTAGTGTTACTACTGTAAATCATGGTAAATGTTGGAGACTTGTAGTTTGAAATACCTTGTAACTGTATTGTTGTGGGTTGGTGTTTCTCCTGTTTTTTCGTGTCAGTGTTGTTGAGAATGTTTCATCTGGATTGAAATCACAAGGCATTTGATTTGTGGTTCGCATGTGACAACTCTGCCCTAAACTTGAACGCTTCTCCCTGGATCTCACAGCTCTGTTTAGTGGTTGGTTGATTGAGGCGGTCAGCAGGTAAACGCATTCGCTCTGCGCTGTGTTTGAGCCGAACTGATAAATGTTCCATGTGCAGTGCGGTTCAAACAAGCAGCTCTTTGTCGTTCCGCTTTTGCTGCGTTTGCAGTTTATGTTTCTCATACGTAACAGAAATGGCAGCACTTATCAGTTATTGCCACCAGTGCGACTGTCTGCAACACGCATGCCAGCATTATTTGCATAGTGCATAAACATTATATTGAACACTTATCGAACTTTTGTTATAATTTTATAGAGGAAAATGATGTCAGGATAATTATCGTTATCGTTCTTGCGCCTAGCCCTAATTGCCATCAACTCCTGTCTGCCACCACTTATATCTACCATATCTATTGTTTCACTTGAACAGCACCTGAGCAGGTTCCAGTTCCCCAGCACACGCGGATCATCACAGAGTGCTGTCATCTTCACGGGTCACCAGACCTCCAGCCGCTCATCAAGAAATGATCAACGTTCACCATCTCAGACAGAGCTGATGCCTAATCATCCTTCACTCTCTCCTCTACAAAGTGGCCTTTGTATGCACTCCCATGTTTCAAAAGCCAGTGGCACTGCCATTTTATCTGATAACATTCTAAACTCAGGTGATTTCCTTGAGGACAAATGTTTGAGTGACGTGCATGAAAAGCAGATGGAGTCTGATTGGGACTTCTCTCAGAGGGCAGGAGAGCAGCAAAGATGGGAAGAACGAATCTCACCTCACATGACCCTGAGGGAAGCTGAAGTGTCCTCTCTATCTGTGACCGTGAAGAAGCCTGCGGACATTGTGTCATTACAGCGGTGTCCGACCCGCAGTCCTTCCCCAGATACCACCGATCCAAGAGATTCCTCACAGTACATGAACTCTGGAGATGAGGATGAGGAAGTGTCTGCAGAGGATGAAGGTGACTCTGTGCCGAGACGTCAAGATCTTCCAGGTTTGAAATTCCTGCTCAGTTACTTTTAATTCCACATTGTCAGTAAACAGATGTATTGACATGACTTGCCAAGTTTCATCGATGTTTGTCACTTTTTAATTGATTAGCCCAATTTAAGAATTATACTTACTCATCGTGGTCTTGTACACATTTCAGATCACACTAACAGCAGACGTCCCAGCATTCTCAATCCAGCTGGTGAAATTAAACCAGACCTCTCGATGCAGACGGACAGTGATGTTTCACCTTCACCGAGTCAAAGTGAGCATCACACCTGGAGAGGAGATGATGTAATTCAAGAGGAGAGTGTAATACCTATTCAAACCAACAGTGGCACACATGAGCAGGTCAACACACGGCAGCATGGAAGCCCTGACCCTCTCCAATCCCCCAACAGGTACAGTTGCTTGGATTGCTCGACTAACCCTCTCTTCTGAAAGCAGCTAGAAACTCTATAGACCTAAAGACTGGCCCTGAATGTTTTCTACGCAGTAACACATTTCTCATTATCGATGCAATTACAGTATCGTGTTCACTTATCTAAGTATTATCATAGAGATGCACCTGATTATTACTCTAGTTTAGAAGATATGATGAAGTCGCAATGAAACGGAAGCAAAATTGTAAAAGATTAAAGTGCCGTTTCAGATATTGGTTTCCCTTTAAGTTAGTTTTGTTTGTCTTGCCCGATTGATAGTATTTGCATAAAACTAAAGAATTTAGTTTTAAGTATATTTGGTTACTTTGTAGGGGTGTAACGGTTCACAAAATTCACGGTTTGGTTCGATAAGACACAGTGGTGTCACGGTTCGGTACGTTTTCGATACAGCAAAAAGAAAGAAATGCCAGAGAAATGTCCTTTATTTAAGAAAAAAAAAATGTATGTATTAAAAAATATATATTTTTTTAAATAAGTGTGAGTTTTCCTACATCTTGAAACTTTTAGTTTTATAAATGGGGACCGTAATGAACAAATAATGTTTTGGTCATCACACTAAAAATAACATTTAAATATGAGTTTTGAAGTGCTGGAAAAAGATGCGTGACGTCCTTGAAAGCATTTTACTATTCCTGCCAAACTTCCATGGTTACAGTTAGTGTTACTACATTAAATCCATGGTGAATGTTGCTGATTTGTGGACTTAAAGCCTATTCATACTTTGCACGTGACGTCACAAGTACTGGCTGGCGGGCAAGAACGTCGTTCTCCAGCAACGAAACCCAGTAAACTAATCAAGGATCTTGCCAGGACGTCGCCAGTTTTACTATACAAAAGTTGGTGTTTTGAGGTTTGTGATATCTATGGTTTTCAATGAGAACCAGAGATGACCCAACAGTAGAGCTAGATTATTTACGGAGGAATTATTACTGCTCGATTATCTTAAAAAACCTTGTCTGCTTTACACAATTTAGCTACCTTGGAGGTAATCCTATTTCTAGTCCATAGTTATGCAGCTAGCTCGCTAACTGACTTGATAGCTATTAAAAGACCCATAAGACCCATAAATACCCGTTTGTTGCCCGCCAGGTATCCATGGTAGTCACGTGACTGCAAAGTATAAATAGCTAGTTTATTCATGGCACAGTGTTTCTCCTGGTTTCCGCGCCAGCGCTGTTTGATCTAATAGAGATCTACGGTTAATAACGGAGAAATGTGAATGCTTCTCACTAGATCTCGCAGCGATGTTATTACTTCTGTGGCAAATTCAAATGCTTTCTTTACTGGATCTCTTAGCGCTGTGTAGTAACAGTGTCGCTTGATCAAGACCGGCTCGCGCTACACTGATAAACGGTCCGTGAAGCACAAAAGTAGCGCAGTTTCGTTCCTTTTTCATTACGTTTGCCATTTGTTACCATTGAGGCAACGTTGTGGTGGTCGCGACTGCTAACAAAATTTTGGTCGCACCGGCAGTAAAAATGGTCCAACGAATCGTTCGGTTTGTAATGCGATACCAAACCGAAAGCCTCATACCGAACGGTTCAATACGAATACGTGTATCGTTACACCTCTATTATTTTTACTTGAGAACAAGATATAAAGCAAAGAAAATCTTTTTTTGCAGCGTGTTGTAGTAATAAGCATGTTAAAATCACTCAGCTAATGCAGTCAGTAGTAGAGTTTCTACTCAAACCACAACAACAGGGAGGTTTTTTTCTCTGTGTGTGCTTTTCTGGGATGGGGGATGCGTGTACATGTGCACATGGGTGTACAGATATAATGAACTGGGGTTCTGCAGCCAACAACCTCACTCAGAGGGGCTCAATCGTGGCTTTAGGACACCTTGTATGGACGGCTCAGACCCTGAATCCAACATTATTGCCCTAATCCCAGATAATGCTGTAAGGGAGCAATTTTCTCCTCCGGAGATTTGACCCCAAGTCCCAGGAGACTCAACTATTTCTTAACTTCATAGAATGTTCTGAAGGATGAAAGTGTGGGCATCATGAAGGCTCCGCTCAGACAGATAGTTAGTAGGTTTGCATGATGTGCATGGACTTATACTATTTATACTACAGTAGTATATACAATAACATAAAAATGTACACATCTCAAAACAATTAATAATCCCTTCAACCATATTGTAAAACATGTTCCTGTGGTTGGTTATAGACATCACATTAGAAAAATAAACCTTGGAATGACATGCAGCAATTAAAACAATGTGTCATGACGAACTTCATAACCCTCCAGGACAGTGTAATTTAATACTTACTCCAGCCATATCCTTTTTGCTCTCTTTATTACTTATTTTATTATTTCTGCATTGAATAAATAGATTAATGAAGCCTGCTTTATCAATATTGCCAAGTGTATACATGGAGTGGATTATCCACTTTAATGAGTTGGTTGAATACATATTTAGCACAAAGGTATGCATGCAAATTCTGCATTTTTGGCAGAATAATTTGTTTGCTTCATGCATAAAGGCCCTGTGATCAAATGAGATGACTATCAAAACAAACAACCCCTTCACTTTAGATGCTAATGCGCATGCAAAGCCCCAGTGGTTCCCTATGGAGGTGATTGTAAAGTGTTTCCTAGTAATTTAAGACCTTTCAATAGATTAAAATGACATTTTATTGACAAAACCCACCACTTGGGCTACTACGTTTCCTGCCGTCTGTTAAATGAATATGGTTTGTAGTGACCTCTCTGGCGTATTATTCGTCTTTGTGAATGTTTGCTGTTAAACATGAATGTGAGAGATTTTTTGGCCTTGTGAAGAGGCCTGGCTAAGAACAAAGCTCTTGTAACGTTATTGTGCGTGTAAGCAAAAGAAGGAGAAACCATTAGTATGAATCGTAGCATTTAGTAAATACCGTGTCACACATGTTGTGATGCGAAAGTGGAGTCAAGGCTATCGTGCGCTCAGGTCTAGAGAGGAGAGTGTATCATTGTATTCTGTCGAGCGTTCCCTTCACGAGGCTGTCCTCTCAGCCTCTCATATGACGGCACGAGTTTGTCTTTTCAAAGATCTTGATGTGCTTCAGTTGATCTTTTGACTAACCCATTATACTTCTACCTTTGTAAAAGGAGAGACCAGCACTAAAACACCCTGTGTAATGGATCCGTTGTCAAGCCCTTTCAAGTATGATGCTGCTGTATCTTCACCGATTGATTTGTTAATATATTTGTGTCTCAGTTTGTGTCATTTTCATGTTTTATCTACTTTTCAGAAAGAGGCACATCAGTTCCCTTGTTACATTCCGTCTCCAGGGTGGACTAGAATATATGCTAGTGGAACCATTATTGCTGTTATGGAGAAAACAAATAGCTGAAATTAGGGCTGGGCGATATGGAGCAAAAAATATATCTCGATATATTTTGCTATATCTCGATATTCGATATATATCTCGATATCTTTACAGGAAAATGGATGTGAATACAACTCAAAATATAGGCCTACAATCAATAGAAAATTAATTTTCCATAACAGAATGTAACCAAATGAGAAAAATTAAACACAGGGCCTGAATTTCGTCATCATTATTAATCACGTGATTCATATACAGAAACTGAATAAAGTAATCAAATGGAAAATAACACTGAGTAGTATTTTAGTCCTGAATAAATTAAATACATAGGTTATTAATCCTGATTCCTTTAACTTAAAGCTATCTTTTGTTGTATTGACAACAAAATGAATGACACACATATGGCTGCCGTCACTTTAAGAGGTAGTGCACGGATCCTGTGTTCATTAGTACTGGCATGCGTTTTATGCTTATTAAAGACAAAACCGACTATGTTTAGAGTATACTCACGACGACCGAAATTGACAATTTTGCGTGTTAAAGCAATATAATCCGTGAAAAATAACTTTTGTTACTGGCCAGCTGTTCTTAAGGCGGATTTTCTATGAATGTGCGCATAGAAAATAATCTCTCAGAGAGCGCGCGAGCACTGATTAGTTTAAAATCGCTTGAATGTTTAAACTGGTAAGACTTAAAAAGACGTGCAAATGGTAAACTTCAGTCACGATGCACTGCTGGCCCGATTGTGCGAGTGAATATCCATCATGTCCCGACTCCTAAACGCGAGTGTGTTTTATCGCCGCAGCTCTTGATGATTGCCTTGCACAACACATTATGAGAGACGAGAAAGAAGCGGCACCGCTGAACACTCACGCTGTTTGTGAAATTGCGTCTGGCAGATAGTTGTTAAAAGAATGATTTGATTTTATAATCTGTGTGGATTACGATTGCGGGAATTTCCCGCATTATAAATGGGAGACCTGCGGGAATGATTAGAATTATGCGCAATACCCGCGCCGAAATTCGAGCCCTGCAATAGTTTAAAACAAGACGTTTGTAGTAGCCTTCTGATTACTGGAGTCCATTAATCGAACTTCCATGCCTCTTATATAGTAATTATATATTGTAGTATGTAGGCTACCAATTTACCAATGCAATTAATGCTCACACTCGGTTTCTCTCGTGCTCTGTCGCTCGCGCGCAGACACACTCGGAGTTCTGTAGCCTCCGGGCTGGTTGCGGATGAGACAATTGTTGAATGAGACAACACGCGAGGTGAGGGGGAACAAAAGCAAGGAGGCTGGGGCGAGCACAGCACAGAGAAGGCAAACAAGCAAAGTGGCGAAATCAGGATTAAATATAAACAAAATATCGATATATACGATATGTCAAAATCCATATCGTGTTTAAAAAATATCTCGATATATTTTAAATATCGAGATATCGCCCACCCCTAGCTGAAATATAGAGAAGATGCTCCTCATAATGGTCTCAAGAGCAAACACCTATAGATGTTGCCCACAATACTCTGTAATCAGCTGCTGTTTGGGTGTGTTAGGTGTTTTGAAGAGCCCTGGCGAATACACTGTGGGAAGATGATGACGGAGCAGAGGGACGTATGGGGGGGTGTTTCAGCCGCTCTGAAGAGGACTTTGCCCAGATGGATTGTGCTCCACAGAATGTCATGGATATAATTCACACAGGCAGCTTAATCAGGGTGTTTCCAGGAAACAACCTGCCAAAGAGAGGCAGCGATTGTTTGGTGGCCCCTGACCCCAGGGCCCATTATAGATTGTCATAAATTCTTTTTGGCCATTTTATATGGTGGGGGTTTTAGGATTTGGGTTTAGGTTTTGCAGAAGCTATTCTATAAGGGCCACCCAGTGCTTAATACGTCAGTGTGAGAGATATGGATTCGCTAGAACAAAATGAGCCATGAACAATATTTCACATTTCTGCAGCCATCCAATGCCAAACCAAAGAACAATGTGTAAATATTAATTTATTTATGATGAAAAAAAAATGTTCGTACTTGTTACAATATGTTTTTAATATACTTAAATTCAATACAAAATCAGAATTGACTCTATTTCCATTTTCAGTACACATTCCTGGACAATTACTGGGGATCAGTGCATGATATTCAGAAAAAAATGAAAGAGAAGAAAATGTCTTTGTAACCTTGTAATGTAATAAATGCTCCACTTCTGAAATGGTTTTCTGTGGGCTATTGGATGATGATAAAAATAGGCATTCCCTTATGCTACTATTATAGATAATGCAGCCTTTATAAAATCACATTAATGCTAATTGATGTGAAAGCAATAATAGCAAATAATGGTAGATATGGAAAAGGAAAGGATAAGTCTAGGTGCTGTCGAGGGTGAACTCAACCTTCAGCCTCCTCATCCCGGTGCTAAATTCCCCTTAAAAGGGGGTTCTGGAGGTTGTCTGGAGGAAAGTAGTCCTCCACGATCCACTGCAAACTCACTTTCAGGTCTGGCACTGTTCTGAAATGGAATGTTCACTGTGATCATGTCAATTCCCAGTGGATAACGCCAAGTTCCACCCTATTTTTCAAATTCCACATCCTTATTTTACTCAGAAATATGTTACATTACACAAGTAAAACTGGCTGAAAATGTAATTTCTTGTTGGTTTTAATCTCAGTAACATTGATGCAATAGGAAAAACACCATAAGTTAACAAGGCTGTATACAATAACAGTATAAACCAATAATTGACCTTCTTGTTTTTGTTATTGAACATTTCTACAGGCTCTCCATGGAAGGATTTTGTCATCTTCTGGAAAGCATTGAGCGCCGTCTCGGAGAGAAAGACGTGAACCTCTACAGAAGCTCAGTCAATGAGCAGAAACTCAGTGATATCATCAGGTCAGCGAAGGAAGGTGTTTTGTTCCCCTGCTTGTGTCTGCTACCTCTCATGGTGGTGTAGTGTTCACAGATTCAATGGAAATTGCATTATCCTGCTGTTAAGGGCTCTCGCTATAAATTAAGTGCCATTACTTTGCCACCAACAACACTCTAGCAATAAATCTTGGTTTCTAAGGGGTTTTGAATCACAGTGACCATTTTGCAGTGGAGTTTTATTGCTCTCCGTGTTTGTTGTGTAGATTGAAGGATGTGGAGAATAGTTATACTCATCTAAAACTTGTACTCTTAGTAATACTGCATTATTAGTGAGGTTTTCAAAGCTGAAGCTGATTGCTGTGTGCCTGCACTCCACATATTGCCATTTTTAGCCTGTTTCTTCATGCCTTCCCCAGTATATGTGGTCAGTGTGGGCGTCTGGATGGTGTGGATCTGCATGCGTGTGGTGCTGTGGTTCTGCAGCAGCTGCCCCTGCTGTCCTGCAGTCTGTCTCATGGATGCCTGTTACCCAGTGATCTAGTCAACACACACTGGTCATCAGCTACAAAGCCAGAAGAGATCAGGTATAGTGATTTACTGTTCTCTGGAGTCATAGCATCTATTCAGGTTGTTTCAGTGTTATATATATACAGTAGGGGTGTCCCCGACTAAGGATTTTCATAGTCGAATCAGAATCGTCTAGTCTCGCCTATAGTCGACTAATAGTCGAATCATGTGTGTGGAGGGGAGGGGCGGGTCTTTAACATTTTTAAGCCACGATGTACATAACATCACACAAAGATATAGAAGAAAATGTATAAAAACATTTCGGATCAATAAAACTAAGAAATAACATAAGTAACTGCAGAAAGGCCACACTGCAGATAGGATTTGCATTTCACATGCAAATCAATTAAATCGGCTAAATTGCCTGTGCGAGCAGACTCTAAGTACAGCGCAACATCGATGCATCGAAAAAATAAACAATTAATTTACAGAATTAAATTAGAACAGAATATACCTTTCTAATAAATGAAACTGACTTATTTCGTTTTGTATTTTTTAAGTCACAAGATACAGAACAAATGTGTGCAAAATGCCTAAAGTGCAGGGGAACATAGATTCAAAACACAAGCCACAAATAGTTCAATTAGATAACCCTGAGTGATCTATAAATATAATTAAAATAAGGAAAGTATAGCCAGAATTGTCAACTTTGTCTTTTTAATGGCAGAAACAGCAATAAACGCTAAACTGGAGCGGCAGTCTTTTTAGCTAAACATGTTCACAGCATCCAAAAATCAAATTAGAACCGGCTGAAATGTTTTGCAATCACTTGTATCCATACCTGATCGAGAAACAAAATCCAGTCTTTCACTCGGGCTGTGTCCGTTTGAGTCTTTTCACTTTTCAATACATTCTAAAACGCTTAACGTGAAAAAGGTTTAACGGCTTAATGTCCTAAGATCAAATTATGTACACACCTTATTAATAACAGAAAAGCAGATGAGCCCAGAATATGAACGCAACACGTTTAATTACACGTTAAGCATTTTCCTCCCATAGAAAACCGTTATTATAAAGAAAACGCTACGTGACTTTCTATAGGAGAGACGCGTTGCGTTCATATTCTGGGTTCATCTGCTTATCTGCACATAGTATGGTTTCTTAATAAGGTGTGTACTGTGTGCATGCGTAAAAGTGCCCTTTAAGCGTTTGAAATGCTTTTTGAGGAAAACCAACTTGTTAACGTTGGCCGGCAGAAGTGCGATCATGGTTTCCTGATGTTAAATCCAGCCTTGGAGAATATCCTTTCTGATGGTGTGCATCCACACTTTATATTTTCTTATCCCAGACATTTTTAAAGATTTAAATCCCTGCCGCCGAGATGCTGCTCTGTCGGTCACGGATCGAAAGTGAAACTTAAATCTGTCACAGGGGTTGTGGGATTAATTCATGCACGCTAAAGATATTTATTAAAAGCTTCTTTCTTTGCACATTTTTATTTACAGCATTATCATACGAGGCTGTATATTAATGTATTGACAGAAAACCGGTAGTTCGTGAAATCAGACATTGAGCACACTCATATAGCCAAAGTGGCATGATCCTCGTTTCATAACACCTCTGCGAAGATTCGACCGTGAGATTGGTAGTCGAATCTGGCTCGTCCTATCCAAGCATCGAATCTTCGACTATTCGGGGTCACCCCTAATATATACAGTATACCGTATAGCAAGATATTGTTTGAATAATATCGTCGGCTAATATTGGTAGGTTTAATTAAATAAAAAAATGCATTAAAAAGTAGTCTTGCAGTCCAAGAGTCTTATTTTCCCTTTTTGTTTATTTTGGGAATGATTTAAAGTGAGTGTAGTTGCTGTTTGCTGTGTTTGATTGTGGTTATTTGCATGCAGATTTGTTCAGTGGCTTTTTAGATAACAGTTCATGTCCACCTTATTGAAAAGTTTTTTTTTTTTTTTCTTATTTTCATACTGTCATGATTAGATAAGATCATGGAAATGATGTGCCTGTGTTAAATGAGTGTGTCCTGGTTTGGGCCTGTAGGTTGTGCCTGTCAGCCGAAAGCGTTCCGCTGTGGGATTGCTGTTTCAGGCACTTCCTTCAGCTTCGACAACAGAACATCCTCAGTACTGACCACATCATCCAGCTCTTCACTCAACTCCTGGTGACAAACAACGCCACCTACACTGACAAGGTCTCGCTCTCACTTGCATTCTGCTTCACAGCAATCTCCCAAACTCAGCACAGATGTGTTTAATACTACAGGAATTCTTGTCACAGGCCTTTTATATCAAATGTTCTACAGCCACAAATGTGTCAAATTTGAGTTAAATGCAGTGTTCATTTTGTCAGGTTTTTTTTCCTTCTTAGTCTTAGTCCTGTGTCAAATGTACTTTTTAGTTTTTATCATTTTTAGTCAATCTAGTCCTGTTTTTGTTTCGTCAAGTTTTAGTCTGTCTGAGCATTAGTGTAGTTTTAGACAATGAAAACTTTGTCACAATTTTGTCATGCTGCATAATAATAATCAGGATTAATTTGCTCAAAATTCTAATCACAACGATTGTTGTCATTTTTTGTATTACATTTCATCCAAATTATTGCGCTTTCACCTATAAGCACAAAGCAAGAGGATGTCTACTCATGGTTCATTTTACCATTCATAAATGGTTCATATCTAGTTTCCTGATTTTTTTCATATTCTCAAAAATTAAAACTGAATTGAAATTCCTTATAGTAATTCTAATGATGAGGGCGAATGATCTGAAAACACAGACAAAAAAAGTAAGCTGCAGGTCAGTGATCTCCATTTGAGATTTTCTGCTTAAATGAAAGTGTCTAGAGGCGCTTGCGCTCTTTGCTGCGATCAAACCTTCTCAGTGATGAACTGTAATAAATCCAAACATGGATCTCGAATATATTTGCGATTGTGGTTGCTGAATAAATGCACTTACTCTGTGGGACAATACAAAGTCTTTTTTGCTGTTGTTTTAATAGAAAAACCTTAAAGTCCCTGTAAAGGCCATTCTAAAAAAAATGTCTAAACCCATTATAAATGTTAGAAATGTATTGCTAAAACATATTACAAAGACTGTGAACTGTGAAGTACTGAATTGTGGAGTTAGACCGTTAAACAGTTTTTCACCATTGCTATTTTCTGGATTTTTTGGGCGGGGCTAAAACGGGGCTCGATGACGCACTGGAGCCCCTGAGCTCGTGGACACGCCCCTACTTGATGGCGCACTGGGGCCACTGAGGCTGGCCACTCCCCTAACAATAGATGGTTTCAGCGCAGCCAGCGGACACGCCCCCAGCATTTGAGAGCAGAGAATACTGCTCATTTTTTCAAGATTTTGATAGCTTATTTTATGTACTTGCCGGCTTTTTTTATCATTCAAATTTGGCTGGGTGGCTAATAACACATTTTTCTGTGGTGTGACAACCTCAGAACACATACTTAATTTTGACTTTACAGGGACTTTAATGTAATTTGGAAATATTTGATTACTAGGAATTTCACTGTTTTAATTTTTGAGAGAAGTTTCTTGTTTTACCATTTGGCCTATATGACAAATAGTCTGTAATAAATCAGGAAACTTGATGAGGTAAAATAAACCATGCACATTCTCTTGATTTGTGCTTATTAGGTGAATGTGCAATAATTTTAATGAAATGTAAAAATTAATTTATATTTATTATACTTGATTATAATTCTGAGCAAAATAATCTTGATTATCATAAAAAGTACATTTCGTCCCCTTGGAATTATAAGGTTCTATCTGCGTTCTGAGCAGTTTTGAGATATTGAGCTTCAAAGTTTTTGCATTACATATAGGAAAATTTATATGGGGAACAAGTTTCTTTCAAACATGAAAATAACAGGGACCCTAAATGTATTCTAAATATACAATATCAAAATCCTCTCAAATTTGTAAATGGGTTTTTTTGGAATGGGTCAAACGCAGATAGAACATTCTAATTCTAAAAAAACACTTTTTGCTTAGAATTATAAGGTTCTATCTGCCAAAACATTATTTGAACATTAAATATACATTTAATGTTGTAACAATGTCTCAACATGTGTTAGAAAGTAAAATTGTATCCTTTCTATGACATTTATTTCATATTTTTTAGCACTTCCATGTATTTAGGACATTCAAATTTAGCAAGGTAGGTCTAAATATTTTGTCCAGTGCAGAATCTTAATTTTCGTTACCAATTTGGTGGGTAATTAAACACATTATTGCAGAAATTGTTACTTTAATCTTTCTTTTGTTTAGACAGAAAGGAGCCACTGTAATACATCTGAGCAGGACTTTATTCCAGCTAAAGTGGGCCAGGTGAAATGGCTTTCTCTCTAGACATCAGTATGGCTGAAATAACATGCTAACGTTTATTGTTGTAATTAAGACCCCATCAATGAAATTGTTAACTATTTGACCTTTAAGGCTTAAAATTGTAAAAATTAAGACATTTTAAGACTTTAAAAACTACAAGAAAATCGACATGCTTCAGCAAATTAATTCATAAAGTTTAATAATCATTGAAAAATGATTCACTGACTATTATGATCACAAAAAATGTCAGACAAATTTTTTAATCACACACACACACACACACTCTCTCTCACTCACACACACACACTCTCTCTCTCTCACTCACACACACACACACACACACACACACACACACGCACGCACGCACGCACACGCACGCGCACACACACACACACACACTTTCACACACTCGCACACACACACATTTTCACACACTCGCGCACACACACACACACTTGCATGTTAAATGTTTTTTTTAAATATGCAATTTACTCACTGCATATTTGTATAATTCAGATAATAATAACTATAATAATAATAGTTATTAATAATAACCTCATTGATAATTAATAATAATAACCAATACACTATAAAGAAAATGGCCAAATTGAAGCCACTTCATAACACTACACAATTTAGTGAATATTTAATTTACTGTAAATGTATAGCATTATGCCTTTATGGGGTTTATTTTTGCCTTCAAGGAAAAAGCCGGCGACATGACATATAAAGTTGATTCTGATTGGTCCTCTTCTGTGCATTCGAAGTGCTGATTGGCTCACACAGATAGAACCTTATAGAGCCAAGTTAGAGTTCGATTTTGTAGATAGAACCTTTTTGTTTTTTCAATAAAATGTCCCACAATGTACACAATTTAAAAAAAAAAAACATCACATAATGTTAATAAGTTGTCACAGAATAAGAATATGTGAATAACTCAATTTTGACAAAAATGTCAGATAGAACCTTATAATTCCAAGCGGACGATTTGACACAGGACTAAGGCTTTTCCACCTTCGGGCCAAACCGTTCCATTCTGTGCCGATCAGGGCCTGCCGGTACTGATATGGTTTCATTTTCCACTGGGGCTGATAATGGGTGCTCTGTGGAATGTAATACTAATGTGTCAGTCGTTGCCTTGGTAACGCAACGGTTTACTGATGATATCAGATGTAAATAGCGACCGCGTAAGGGGCCGTTCACATATCGAGTCTTTTGCACGCTCAAGTTCGTTGTTCAATGTTCCCCAAAGGTTGAGAATTTACTTGTGGTGGTGGGCTGGGCGATGTGGCACGGCACAGCGCAGAGTAGGGCGATGTGGCCCGGTGCTTATTGAGTGGGTTCAGAATAAACTAGTCATCTAGTGCTTTGATTTGAAGTAAAAAAAGTTTAAAAAAAATTGGACAAAAACACAAAGGTACAAGTAGGGGCACGACTCAGCTGTGTAAATCTGTCAACCGGTAGACATTTTGGACTATCGTCTCTTTCGCGGTTACGCTCACATGACGTTGCTGTGCTACGCAGTCACGAAAGCTTATCATTTGCATATGTTTTTAAGTACCTTTAAACCGCTGAAGTGCAGTAAGCGGCGAAAGAGAGCTGTCAGAGAGACTGTTTCTCAGCACTGACAGAGAGACGTGTGCACATGAAGATAAAGCGTGTGAGAACTGAACTAAGTGCTTTTTAAATACACATTATGTGTCAAAGTGACCATGTCTTTGTAAGTAAGCACAGTCATTTATGTCTTAAGTGAACGTAAACAGTTTAGAAAGAAAACACACAAGTATGTTGGATTTGGATCTGTGCAGTCTGTCATAAAGTAACAGCATCCAATTTATCTGCTGTCATTATTAATGTTAATCAAGCAAGAAAAAAAGTGAAAATCTCTCATTGTTCTTGACTGAATCACTTTTGTAACTTTAATAAGAATAAATGTATATTTAATTTACTATACAGTGTTTTTATACATTTGATTACTTTATGTAGTATTTTGATCATATCGCCCACCATTAGGTTCAAGACTGTGTGCCTAAGAACTACAATCTCATGAAGCATCGCATATGACATCGAATTTAAACTGGAGAAATATAAAACTACTCCTTTACAATTACAGTACCTTTACTCCTTGCATATAATGCATTTAACTATTTTGAGAGCGTAAAGAGATCGACTCGATTCTGTCATTCGCAGTGCTACATGGGAGTGGGTGGAGCTAAAGAGATATTTCTGATTTGTGTCATTTTCTGTACAGCATCATGGGTATTGTAGTTTTTGATCCTGCAGCCGAATTAATGAAACATTCTTAAGATAAATGATGCAGTCACTCTAGCTAGAACTAGTGAGGCAGCACACACAGATACAGGACGCATTCACTCTAGAAAGAGCGCAAGAAAACATGCAAATGAATGGAAAAGACCACTGTATTTTTCAGACAGGCTCTTTTAAAAGAACTATTTTAACTTGACTTGGTACATTAAAATCACAGCGCTGAGTGATTAACCCCCTTCAAGCCAGTCGCGAAGAAAATCGGCTGAGCGCTTATTATGATAACTACGGTAATCTGCAGGCAGTGCAAAAAGACGGGCTTTGAGGTGTGAATCCGGCCCCAGGAATTCCACTGTTAAACATGATTATTTTCAAAATAAGCTGAAATAATGCAGGCTGACGGCTTCAGCAGAAGCAAATACCATGGATTTACAGCCTCGTAGTAGCTCACAGTAGGGCTGTCTTTATCAAGTCATTCAAAATCAATTTCCCCATGGAGAAAATGAATGGAGTTTTTACTTCCGGAACCTGACTGTTGCACTCTATTGCCATTTCATTATATGCCATCATGAAGTGCCAACATACTGATACTGATAACAGGGCTGTGATTACAAGGATTACACTAATGCTAGTACCACCAGTGTTAGACATGAATGTTTTCACGCATCGCAACAAACCTTAAAAAACTTGATTGATTGATTGAGATTTAAATATTATATATATATATATATATATATATGTATGTGTATTGTTATTTAATATGTCCTATTTATTCCTATTATTATTTAATGATTCCTATCCATTTATAGTTGGATACCATTCTTCTAGAAGAAAAATAAATTAAACTGGAAATATACTTTAGCAGTGCCAAAACTGCTTTTAAAGGTTCAGTGATTCATGTTTTCCATAAAACCACTTTTTAATGTTTGGTGGTGTATATGGAGACATTATTATCCTGGAATATGGAATAATTACGAGGAAAGGATGTAGAATATGATGCACCTGGTCCAGTAAAATTACCTCATCTTGTAAATGTAGATGGGCTTTGAAAGCAGTCTTTCTTAGTGGCATTACATAAATTCCAGCTTTATACTTTTTTGTTCAAATGTGGTGGTGATACTCTCATGTTGTTACTAGACTGTGTTGCCTGTAAATCTTTTGCAAGGGTATGATTATATTTGATATCTGACCCCTATTCCTTGTCATTGTTTGTGATACAGTTTTATTGTTTGTTTTTTTACCCATGTAGTGACTTTTTGGCTAGGCTTTGATATGTTTTCATGCATATTTCTGTTATTTGTTATTTTGTCTAACCTGTTTCTTTTAGCCTCATGCAGAGAAACTGAATTGTTATCTTTGGAACTGACCCGAGGATGACCACTGAATCTAATTGCAGTTTTAATATTTAGCTGATCTACCCAGCGTTTTTAAATATTGCTGAATGTCAGTTTCGAGTTGAGAGTAGATAATTATTTAAGTTTTTCTGTTTCCTGGCTTAAGTCAGTCACTGGATTCCATCATGCAGTTCATTGCTTGCGGTATCATTCCTCTGATCTTGTATTATTTTTATGTAAAAAGAGCAGGAAGTGATCATCAAGCTCCGGTGGAATCTGCAGATTTTTTTGTACTGATTTTTGCTGGGAATTGTTTTGAATTCTGGAGATTTGTGAAATGTGCTCAATAGTACTGCCAAAATGTATAATGAACTAACACTGGGAGATGAATCCTACATGTGAATTTTCTGCAAATTCAAATAAAATCACACATGGCCCTGTTGAATTTGGACAGGGTAAACACAGTCATAAGAATCTGAATGGCATGGTCTTATGGTTATGGAAACCCTGAAAATATCAGGGAATTTTAAAACTGTGATTTCCAGGACTGCAAAAGTCATGGATTGCTAATTTTTAAAATGGTCACTGTCATTTTAGGTTTTGCTGTAAAATATTTAATTGGCTAGAAATGACTAATCGCCAATGTAATGTCTATAAAACGTTTTTAAATAAGAAATCATGAATGACTGGAAAATAATGTGAGAACCCTGAAATGAAGATAAGTCGTCTCTTTGTGTCATCCAGGCAGGAGAGCTGTTGAAGAGGCTTCTGACCCACGAATCTGAGACCCATCAGCCATCAGAAAGTGAACTCTCATCTTCTTGCAGCCTGCCCTCCCTTCTGCGTGACAGCGTGGGAGTAAAGCCCGCCGGGCCTTCCGGAAAAAATCGTCCAACCGTTGGAACACAAGGTAATACGCTTGTTTGACATTTCAGCTGGCATTTGCAAATTCTGCTTATCTCAAATATCAGTTTTTTCGGATTCAAATGAATAGCCTGTAATCCATGTATTATTGAGCAGTTTAAATACACACAGATGTTAATAGCCGTGCTCGGCCAGACAGAACAGATCAATGAGAGAAACCGAGAGGGACGCCCTAAAATCAGGCAAACCGCATTACCGGCTCGTTTTCAGTGGCAATGCAGAGAAACATCAGCTCGGTGGCTCCGTTCTGATGAAGGACCTCGAGTACTCGCAGGATGCCAGAGCTCTGGCCCTCATGAGAATACACTTTTGCCCAAATCTCATTTCTGACAAAGCCAGCCAGCCTTCATTCTCTCTTTAAACCTGTCTCAATCAGTCCTGCTGTTCAGATTCGAAAAGCTCAGCCCCCCCTTACCAGATCTTTCTTTTCTTTTCTCCTCTGTCTCACTCTTCCACCATCTCTCTGAGCTGCGCTTTCCTTCTCTTTTCTTTGTTTCAGGAATTCAAAGTGCTGAAGAGGACAGTGCCGACCAAAGCCCAGTGGAAAGTATTCCTATTAGAGGTAAAAAGGCAGATCGAAGAAGCGCCCGTTCGGGAGTTCTTCTGTGTCTGTTTTGTCTGTCTCCTCACGCAGTAGATAATGGGGGTCCCTTTTTTTCCCAACTGGATGGCTACTGAAAAGATGATCAAGGTGAATCAGAGGTCAAAGTCCCACCTGAAGAGTGGAACAGTTCCTCTAATTATCGGCAGAGAAAACAAACCCGTCTCTTTTCTTCTGCCCTAGGTATGGGTGAAACTGAGATTCTCAGAGCGCATAATGCGGAGGTTTAATTGTCCGCCGGCCGGGTTGGGGGTGCCGCACAAGATCTGTCATTGGTTCTCATTATCTGCTAAACAATGCCAGCCAGAGGCGGACTTGAAAAGACTGGATGTCAAGGCATCCTTTGAAAAGCCTCGGGTAGCAAGTCCCAGCGCCAGCTCAGAAATGTAAAACTATCCATTATTCCACTTGGCTATCTGATTTCAAACTGTGCCTTTCATGCGCAGGGCTAGCCCAAGAGCGCCACGGAGAGAGAAGTCCAGCTTCTCACTGCAACTAATCAAAGGCATTATGGTAGTCGAAAACCGCCTCTGCTGTCCCTGGCTGCTTATGAGCTGTTTACAGGCGGCTAATGAAGACTGCATTGAGTTCTGTTGCCTTTCGTATTACATCACTTTGCAATCATCCGTGGAAACGTCGTCCGAACGTTGGCCTTCCGCCGTCCTTGTCGGTAAAGCGGCGTTTCGCACAATAGTGTTTTATGTATATGGCAAACCAAAAGGAAATCTTTAGATGCTCTTTTTTTTTTTTTTTTTTTTTTTTTTTTTACATGGTACTGAAGCCTATATTTTGCAGAAACGAGCAACAAACAACATGTTTGTTGCAGCCATACTACAAATGTCTGGATAACGAGATGCCGGAATGTATTTTGTCTTTGGGGACCGTAACCATTTTGCAATTTGTTTGTCTGTTTGCTTTTAACATTTAAAACTGACATATTTTTTTGTTTTACAGGGCACGTTTGTTTCTCTTCACTCGTTTTCAAAACGTATTTTAAGCTTGAACGCTCGCTGCTTAAAGATCTCAATTTTGAAAGTTTATTCAACATGAAAGACAGTGTTTTAAATGGAATCCTACAAGATGGTGCGGCAACACAAAAGCCGACGGTTTCTTTTTTTTTTCTTTTCTTTTTTTGTAGACGGCAGCCTGTATGTGTGCGTCTGGATTAGATCAATAGTTTAGTGTTCACTCACTCTGTTTTTCACCTCCTCTCTTTGCTCATCAGAGGCCTTAAAGAGCTGATGTTGGTTCATCAAACATCAGGGCTCTGGAAAGTTGCAAGTTGAGGTCTTTAGCAAATATTTGACTAGCTGCTCTTTCTGTCTCTTTTTTTCTATAGAGACCAAAGCATATCAGCTGCTTAAACAGTCTGTGGCACAAGAGAGGCACTGGAGTGACTCGGAGGAGGATTCGGAGCCGTCAGGTAACGGGGAATAATGGCAAATAAATATTCTAAAGTTTGACAAAGCATGTATGAGCAAGTCTTATTCCGAAGAGGCTTTGTTTATTAGCATGGAAGCATTTAAATGTTTTATATAAAATAGAATTTATTTGTTTGAACCTTCTTCTTAACATCACTATTCTTGAATTTAATGTAACTATTACAATTAGTTCAATTGACTGGACAGTTGAAGTTGTGTGTTCAGATTGGATTTGTAAATAATTATTTTTAGATGGCCCAATCTCAGGAAACTGTGCCATTAATGTTCCCAAAGTTTCAAGGTCATTGTTCCCCTCACCTCAGGCCCAAAGTACCAGGGTCGTAAATTCCATAGACATTTTTTTTTTTTTTTTTTAAACGGCAGCAACTATTACCCCTAATTTTACATTACATTTTAATTGTAAAAATTAGGCTATTAAATGGCCATTGTTTTGTGCAATGGCAATTTAACCCAGTTGCATTTTAAAATATTTTGTAGAGTTATTCACTGTCAATATTATCTGCGTTTTAACAGAAAAATATATAATATTTCTATATACATTATGATTACACTGATCATACAAATTAACAAGAGTATAAATGTGTAATAATAATGCACCCTTTTCCTTCTCTTTTTATTTAAATGATTCATTTGTTATTCAAAGACATCAACAAATTAAAGAGGTCTGAGGCGCTCCCGGACCCTGTGACACAAAATAGCCAGTAAGTACTTTCAAAATTATATTTATATAAAAAAATCCTTGTTTCCATTTGTCCTCTTTTAATAAAAAAGCAATGTGTGTTTGTCCTTGAAACACTCTTAGCGTCATTAACACAAGTTCACGTGGGAGGCATCAGTCAAGCTGTATTTTCATTCAGGGCTTCCTCTCTCATCATCGGCATTATTTGATTGCTTCAGTAAATCAGGACTTTGAATGATGAAAAAGGATCTTCAGGGTACATTGTTTAGGTTTTCACATCAACACAAGTTCACACAATCAGCTAAGACACGCAAGCCCTCCCAGCAGTGCCTCTCCTCCATGAATCCATTAGGGCAGGTAATGGATGGGTAAACCTTGTGAAGAGTAATCGTCTCTGATTTCACATGCTTTTCAGAGCATCACGCTGACACAAGGGTCGAAAGTCTCTCTCCCTGTCTCTCCGTCTTTTTTTTTCTGCCCAGTCTTTATGCCCACTCTTTGCCCGCCTCCCCCCGCGCTCTCTCAGCTAGTTTACACTATTTGCAGAGGAAAGGGTATAATGATTGCACTCTGACAGAGCTCTCTGATGGATGCCACAGTCTGCCCAATGAATGGCCTCATTAATAAACATAAGCCGTCTCTAGTGCGAGATGCTTTTGGAACATCCCAGAACCTGGTAGTCACACAGAGCTCCTGAGAGAAGACCCTCTGTGGGGTTATGATGGTTAAAGATGATGGTTAGCATTGCAGCATTCGCTTTGCTTTCAGGTAAACCATTTCGTGGCGTGCTGAAGAATTCCTCTTGCCAGTCACTTCTTGCGCTTTATTGCCTCCACAAGTACCCTGCACTCGAGCACCAGTAGAACACTACATGTGCTGTTCCCCCTCTCTCGCTCTCTCTTCTCCGTCACTTACTGTTGTCATTCTGTCACTGAGCCGATGGGCACATTAAAAGGCCGTCTGCTTCGGTCCAAAACTCACACAAAAATCGTAATAAAGCAAAATAAAATAAATCAAGTGCCTCTCTTTCTTTGTCATAATTATGATTTTGCGCTTAAGCCGGGACCGTAGCTGAAGAATCGGAGTTTAAAGCAGGCACTTTGGTGCAAAAAAATGCATTTATGGGCCTTTGTGCGCCTCCTCATTATGTGTGGGGCTGATTCATTAAGTAATTGGTTTGCAGTTGTTTACATGAGTATTAAGGCCCCCTATTCAGCAGTCTTTGAGAGATACATTGTGCAAATGTTGCATGTTATGAATGCCCAATGAGAGGCGGGGGGCCAGGCCTATTGGCCAAACACTGCGCCGGGCTGAAAAGACCAGAGAAAAGCGTCAGGCGCTGCTTTGCATAGCAATGACTCGCCCATAATAAGCTTTCCAGATTAAATGCATGCAGTCCATACAAGATGCAAAGAGATACTCTTAACACATTTATGTGTGTTCATTTCACTATTATAGCACTGAAGAGAATTGGGGTCTTTCATATCCACCCCCATTTTTTGTCGTTTTTTCCCCCCCCTTAATTCCCTTCCCTGCGCTCTCCTCTCGTCAACGTGCCATTTTTACTGCTAAATACTTTTATGGAACACAGCGTTTTATTGTGTTATAATTCAGAGGCTGTGCGGACGGTATTTGTTACGCCTGTGTGCTGCAGTGATTCGGGAAGGGGAGAGCTCCAATAAGCAGCTGCACTCCATGTAAAGACCTCTTGTTCCTGCGCTTTGTTTAAGGCTGCATGCCACAGCTTCCTCCTCTTCAGCTGCTATTGTGTCCTCGGCTACTGCAGGCATGTAGCGCAGGTCTCGCCCGCTCGCTGGATCTTAGTGTCCCGCTCTGTTGCTTTAGGAAAAATAACAGGTTAGGAGTAGTGACGGGTTAGCGTAACATCTTAACCAACATTTCTTCAATTTAAAACAATTGTGCTTGCGTAACAGCAGTGGGAGGTTAATATGTAAAGGAAGCCGTTTGTATAGAGACTTTGAGTTTTCCCAGTTTAACAAATTTGCATCATTGAGATACTATTAGAGTATATTTTTGTTTTTTGTTTTTAAATGTGTCTATATATTTTCATTAATTTTATTTCAGTTTCAGTTATTTTAGTACATCAAGTTAAACTAAATGAAAATGAGAAATGTTGCCTTGATTTTTGTTTTAGTTTAACTAAAATATCCCTGTTACGGGCGTCTTCTGTTGTCTAGAGTGAATGAATGTGTAGGGTGGTGGTGGGTGGGACGGGGTAGCACTAAACAGCAGTAGCCAGTCTCTTTCTTTGTGCCTCTCATCATCCGCCTGCTTTGTCTAACAAAAAATGAATATTCTCTGTACACATATCAACATTTATTTCACTGAGCCCATTTTTTTTTTCTTTACCAAGATGAGGTCTTCAATTTGTAAACTGAAATAATACAGGAGAAAAAAAATGCAGTGGCTCAGTTCTCTTGAGGTGATGTCTGTGTGTACACAGCACATTTAAAAAGAAAAGTCCCCTGCCTATCCTCCTGCAGTTCTTTCTGTTCGCCAGCAGAGGGCACTCATATTTAGGCCAGCTGTGTGGTACCCAACAGTGGCAGCTGGTGGCACGTAGAGGGCGCTCTCTCTGCTGCTCTGAATCATTACCTCACTCCAGAGCTCTTGGCTCTTACAGGGGTCCAATCAATGGTAAATCAGTGCTGCTGTGGGTCACAGCTGGGACGGGTGTAGGAGGTGCTACTGCTACCTTGCACAAATACTGATCCAAAGAGCATGTTCTATTAGCATAGCTGTGGAGGCGTATAGATGTTTATCTATGTTTTTATATGCTAAATTCTTATGATAGGTATAGATCCTGTACTCATACACATTGGTGTAGAAACAATTTTCCCTCAAAAATTGCTAGTAAATTTGACAAGTAATTACAAAGAATCAGCAAGTAACAAATTGAATCAAAACATGATTTTTTTTACTGTTTTTATTTAAACAACATACACACTCACAGTCAACTCAACCAACAACAATACATGTGTACAGTCATTGTGCTTTACATAGCGTACCTATCAAATATCTACACACACACATTTTTATATATATATATATAATATATTTATTTATAAATTTCATACACACACACACACACACACATATATATATATATATATATGTGTGTGTGTGTGTGTGTGTGTAAGTAAATTTAAGTAAATAATAAAATATAAATTAATAAAAAAAAGTAAAGCAACATCAGTCAATTACAGGCAAAACCAGCCATCTGTATCGATTCATCCCCCTTCAGCGATAGCGAATTTTGAATATAACTTATGAAAGGTCCCCACATGACAGCAAACTTAGAGCCGGAAACACTTAAATTAAGTCTTAAACATGACATGTTTAAGTGGAAAGGCTGAGAGTATTTTCTTGTAAAACGTACTTCAATAATCAGTTTTATGTACAACTCAAAAAAATCACAGTTAATTTTCAACCTTTATTATGTTTCTTAAATATAAGTGAATATCTGTAAAATTTGACATGACATGCATATTTTTTGAGCGGTTTAGTCCAAATTTTCTTAAGAGACTCAATTGCTTTATATGATGAACAGATTTAATTTAGGCTTTTATTCACATTTAAACATTGATCAGCGAATATAAAAAGAAGCTCAACCGAACCTGCTTGACGCTCGAGAACAAACCTCATTGATTCTTGCGGAAGCTCAAACCTGGTGCGTAACACAAAATGAACCTCATTGGTTACTGCTGAAGCTCAAACGTGCTGCGTAACACAAGAATGAACCTCAATGGTTCTCGCCGAAGATCAAATGTGCTGCGTAACACAAGAATGAACCTCATTGGTTCCTGCTGAAGCTCAAACGTGCTGCGTAACACGAGAATGAACCTCATTGGTTCTTGCTGAAGCTCAAACGTGCTGCGTAACACGAGAATGAATCTCATTGGTTCTCGCCGAAGATCAAATGTGCTGCGTAACACAAGAATGAACCTCATTGGTTCCTGCTGAAGCTCAAACGTGCTGCGTAACACGAGAATGAACCTCATTGGTTCTCGCTGAAGCTCAAACGTGCTGCGTAACACGAGAATGAACCTCATTGGTTCTTGCTGAAGCTCAAACGTGCTGTGTAACATGAGAATGAACCTCATTGGTTCTTGCGGAAGATCAAACATGCTGCGTAACACGAGAATGAACCTCATTGGTTCTTGCGGAAGTTCAAACGTGCTGTGTAACACGAGAATGAACCTCATTGTTTCTTGCGGATGATCAAACGAGTTGCGTAACACAAGAATGAACCTCATTGGTTCCTGCTGAAGATCAAACGTGCTGCGTAACATGAGAATGAACCCCATTGGTTCTTGCGGAAGATCAAACGTGCTGCGTAACACGAGAATGAATCTCATTGGTTCTCGCCGAAGATCAAATGTGCTGCGTAACACGAGAATGAATCTCATTGGTTCTCGCTGAAGCTCAAACGTGCTGCGTAACACGAGAATGAACCACATTGGTTCTCGCTGAAGCTCAAACGTGCTGCGTAACACGAGAATGAACCTCATTGGTTCTTGCTGAAGCTCAAACGTGCTGCGTAACATGAGAATGAACCTCATTGGTTCTTGCGGAAGATCAAACATGCTGCGTAACACGAGAATGAACCTCATTGGTTCTTGCGGAAGTTCAAACGTGCTGTGTAACACGAGAATGAACCTCATTGTTTCTTGCGGATGATCAAACGAGTTGCGTAACACAAGAATGAACCTCATTGGTTCTTGCGGAAGATCAAACGTGCTGCGTAACACGAGAATGAACCTCATTGGTTCCTGCTGAAGCTCAAACGTGCTGCGTAACACGAGAATGAACCTCATTGGTTCCCGCTGAAGCTCAAACGTGCTGTGTAACACGAGAATGAACCTCATTGGTTCCCGCTGAAGCTCAAACGTGCTGCGTAACACGAGAATGAACCCCATTGGTTCCTGCTGAAGATCAAACGTGCTGTGTAACACGAGAATGAACCTCATTGGTTCCCGCTGAAGATCAAACGTGCTGCGT